ACGGACAGACTGGATACAGATATAACCTACAGACAGATTAGGTATACAGATATAACCTACAGACAGACTGGATACAGATATAACCTACAGACAGATCGGATACAGAAATAAAACATACGGACAGACTGGATACAGATATAAACCTACGGACAGATTGGATACAGATACAAACCTACGGACAGATTGGATACAGATACAAACCTACGGACAGACCGGATACAGATACGAGCCTATGGACAGATCGGATACAGATACGAGCCTATGGACAGATCGGATACAGATATGAATCTATGGAAAGTTAAAATACAGATATAAACCTACAGACAGATTGGACACAGATATAAACCAGCGGACAGATCGGATACAGAAATAAAACATACGGACAGACTGGATACAGATATAAACCTACGGACAGATAGGATAGAGATACAAACCTACGGACAGACCGGATACAGATAGGAGCCTATGGACAGATCGGATACAGATACGAGCCTATGGACAGATCGGATACAGATATGAGCCTATAAGCAGATCGGATACAGATATAAATCTATGGAAAGTTAAAATACAGATATAAGCCTAATGACAGTTCAGATTATCCTGAAATAAAAATAACATTGAATTGAATCTACAGACAATTCCGATCAACCCAAAGAAAATAAATCACAATATCTAGTTGAAATACAGAAACAAGTTTAATTATCAGGAATCAGAAACAATATCTAGTTGAAATATACAGACAAGTTTAATTATCAGGAAACAGAAACAATATCTAGTTGAAATACACAGACAAGTTTAATTATCAGGAAACAGAAACAATATCTAGTTGAAATACACAAACAAGTTTAATTATCAGGAAACAGAAACAATATCTAGTTGAAATACACAGACAAGTTTAATTATCAGGAAACAGAAACAATATCTAGTTGAAATACACAGACAAGTTTAATTATCAGGAAACAGAAACAATATCAAGTTGAAATACACAAACAAGTTTAATTATCAGAAAACATTAACAATATCTAGTTGAAATACACAAACAAGTTTAATTATCAGGAAACATAAACAATATCTAGTTGAAATACACAAACAAGTTTAATTATCAGGAAACAGAAACAATATCAAGTTGAAATACACAAACAAGTTTAATTATCAGAAAACATTAACAATATCTAGTTGAAATACACAAACAAGTTTAATTATCAGGAAACATAAACAATATCTAGTTGAAATACACAAACAAGTTTAATTATCAGGAAATAGAAACAATATCTAGTTGAAATATACAGACAAGTTTAATTATCAGGAAACAGAAACAATATCTAGTTGAAATACACAGACAAGTTTAATTATCAGGAAACAGATACAATATCTAGTTGAAATACACAAACAAGTTTAATTATTAGGAAATAGAAACACTATCTAGTTGAAATACACAAACAAGTTTAATTATCAGGAAATAGAAACAATATCTAGTTGAAATACACAAACAAGTTTAATTATCAGGAAATAGAAACACTATCTAGTTGAAATACACAAACAAGTTTAATTATCAGGAAATAGAAACAATATCTAGTTGAAATACACAAACAAGTTTAATTATCAGGAAATAGAAACAATATCTAGTTGAAATACACAAACAAGTTTAATTATCAGGAAATAGAAACAATATCTAGTTGAAATACACAGACAAATTTAATTATCAGGAAACAGAAACAATATCTAGTTGAAATACACAGACAAGTTTAATTATCAGGAAACAGAAACAATATCTAGTTGAAATACACAGACAAGTTTATTTATCAGGAAACAGAAACAATATCTAGTTGAAATACACAGACAAGTTTAATTATCAGGAAATAGAAACAATATCTAGTTGAAATACACAGACAATTTTAATTATCAAGAAATAGAAACAATATCTAGTTGAAATACACAGACAAGTTTAATTATCAGGAAACAGAAACAATATCTAGTTGAAATACACAGACAAGTTTAATTATCAGGAAACAGAAACAATATCTAGTTGAAATACACAAACAAGTTTAATTATCAGGAAACAGAAACAATATCTAGTTGAAATACACAGACGAGTTTAATTATCAGGAAATAGAAACAATATTTACTTGAAATTCCGGTCACCTGAAAAATACAATTTACAATATTTACTTCAGATCCACACACAAGTCCAGCCACACCCAAAATAAAAATGGCAAGACTTAGTTGAAATACACCGACAATTTTGAAGTGTCTGAATACAGAGAATGTTTAATCCAATATTCGATTTCCGTACGATTGTAGTTTGTTCATTCCAGTTTATGAAGTCTTCATATTTTATTAATCAATAGAACTTCACTTGTCAAATTAAACATTAAAATGTACGTTATGAAGTCTTAATTATTTTTTTTTTCAAAGGAATACCTGTAATTGAATATTAATATGCACAAAAATGATAAAGCGTTTTAGGGTTAGTTTATGTTTTTGAATGTTGGAAAGCATATACAAATTAACTTTGGGTAACAAAATATGGCTTTCTTACAAAATGTAAAGGGATAGATCGAATTTAAGTCATAAGTCATGGAAGAAAACTGTTAGGATCTGGTTAATCAATGTATCGAAATCAGAATTAAGTCACTTAACAATCGTGCTTTTCCTGACATCTGTCGGAAGAAAAGAGAACCGTTATATATTTCGATGAGAAAAATCTTCTTTATTTAAACAGATCGCTGTAATGTAGTCACCTTTTACTAACTGCGAAAATATGTATAGATTTTGCATATTCATTAATTTTTTTCTGTACAAAATGATTTACTTTTATTTAATGTAAGATTACAGTTAAGAGACGTCTCACTAGATGGAGCCAAAAATCGTAAACGCCTGTTTCGAAGGAAACAAATCGATTATATTTTATTTGTAGTTCGTTAGCATATATATTTATGTTAATTATAGCTTAGCTTAAGACTTCAAGCAGAATTAACTTCTCACTACAAATCAACAGACAAACCATCATTTCAAATTGGTATTTCATTATAAAATACAGTATCTGAGATTAGTCATATTTGTGGAGAGTTTACCCTATTTAAAATATTGTTCATGAAATTCAAACTAAACTAATTAGCCAGTGACAGGATATATATATGTTTGTATCATTTATAACTAACGTTTAATTCCTTATTACTTAGACATGTATTTAATGAAAATTTCTTTAATCTTTCATGCTTAAGAGCCTGTGAAGATGGAACAAGGTACGTTTATATTTTGATTTTCTATGTTTTCACTTCAGATAAGACGCGAGCAAGTAAATGTTAACTTCAACTCTTTTTGAAACGCGCATGCCTGACAGGTGTAGGCGGTTACAAAGGTGAAGGTAAATCGCATTATAACACTGGAAACTGACAACTTCGCTGTCAGGTCATCCAAACGTGATTACTCTACAGACCGAAGTATATAATGATGGGAAATCATTAAAATAATGAGTTTTAAATAAATTTAATCGATAACGAGATGTGCCAATAAAAATTAATTAATGACCATAATTAATAGGCGGGGTTATTAACAGTGCCAGATAAGGTAAATTATCTCGTGCTTTTTACACCAGTTGTGGACTTGGAATAACAGATTGTTGGATAAATGCTAGATTGCTAAGACATAGTTCAAAGTATAATATAAAATATAAAATCATATAATATAAGTAGCTAGCAGATTTTCAGTGACATTTTCTCATATCATTCATTCATTCAAAGTTGGGCGCGACAAGTAACTAAATATTTCTAAACAAATGTTATAAAGTTGGGCGCGACAAGTAACTAAATATTTCTAAACAAATGTTATAAAGTTGGGCGCGACAAGTAACTTTTATAACATTTGTTTAGTAATATTTAGTTACTTGTCGCGCCCAACTTTATAACATTTGTTTAGTAATATTTAGTTACTTGTCACGCCCAACTTTATAACATTTGTTTAGTAATATTTAGTTACTTGTCGCGCTCAACTTCATAACATTTGTTTAGTAATATTTAGTTACTTGTCGCGCCCAACTTTATAATATTTGTTTAGTAATATTTGTTGGGCGAGACAAGTAACTAAATATTACTAAACAAATGTTATAAAGTTGGGCGCGACAAGTAACTCAATATTTCTACGACTGCAGTTTATTTCTTGATAAGCGCAACGATCTCTCTGTGCTTTGCTCACCGCAGGGATCTAACCCCAAATTTTGTCATAAGCTCTTATCGCTGAGCCACCATGTGCAAAACTGCAACTACCCGTATTCCTGATGCTCCATGAAAACGTATTTTGCGTTTCAGCTTAGGTCCAATAAACTATTTAACCCGTATTTTCACATCAGTTACTCTAAATCACCCAAATTGTTGATTGTGAAATAAGAACGCAAGGCTCAATCTGTGCGTGAGATTGATACATTTCACCGAGCCACGTTGTTTACAGAGGATTGAATCCCTTACCAACAAAACGAGGCCACTGAAAATGACAAGCTGCGTTTTAAGAATTTTTTTTTTTTTTTACTAGCAGCGTGTGTTCATTATTTAACGTTACAACGGCCTTTAAACAAGAAAGACATTATACTTTGGAATGGAAAATATTATACATTGATGTTTGCACGAGTTGTTATCGGTTCGATGTTACAGAACAGACCTTCTAATCTAGTTTTACGTCAAATTGTTTGTGATTTGCACACATACACACAAATTAAAACAAAAATTGCGTCAAGATTGCGATTAGTTTGTTTATCTATTATTAAGAAAAGGATACAAAATGGGCAATCTATTGCTCTTCCCACCGCGGGTATGAAAACCCAATTTTTAGCGTTATAAAGCCTCAGACTTTGGTTGACACGCTCGATTCGCATTCCCGTCACCGAACATGCTCGCCCTTTCAGTCGTGGAGGTGTTATAACGTGAAGGCCAATCCCACTTTTTGTTGGTAAAATAGTATCCCAAGGGTTAACGGTGGGTGATGTTAACTAGCTGCCTTCCCTTTAGTTTATCACTTCTAAATTAGAAACGCTACGCATGCACAGATAACCAATGGGTAGCTTAGGGTGAAATTCAACAAACCAATCTCTCTGAGCTACCTGGGAAGGGGTGGGAGTGGTAAGATGCGATTAGCTAGTACCATGAATTATTGGTGGGATTTACTTTTTTTTTGTGTGGTATTTCTTTGCAAATATTGTAAGAGAAACGAATGCCAAAAGTAACTCAGTATGATGCAATATGTAGACTCCGTTCGCATAAAAGATTAAAAGAAAGTTAAATTTATGGTTTTCAACACTATACAATTCACAGTAGCCTTAACTTCAACACTATACAATTCACAGTAGCCTTAACCATAAGTCTATACAATTCACAGTAGCCTTAACTTCAACACTATACAATTCACAATAGCCTTAACTTCAACACTATACAATTCACAGCAGCCTTAACTTCAACACTATACAATTCACAGTAGCCTTAACTTCAACACTATACAATTCACAGTAGCCTTAACTTCAACACTATACAATTCACAATAGCCTTAACTTCAACACTATACAATTCACAGTAGCCTTAACTTCAACACTATACAATTCACAGCAGCCTTAACTTCAACAATATACAATTCACAGTAGCCTTAACTTCAACACTATACAATTCACAGTAGCCTTAACTTCAACAATATACAATTCACAGTAGCCTTAACTTCAACACTATACAATTCACAGTAGCCTTAACTTCAACAATATACAATTCACAGTAGCCTTAAGCTGTAATTTTAAACACGGTACAGGTGGTACAGTCTAAACATAACAAAACTCGCTGTAATTTTAAACACCGTACAGGTGGTACAGTCTAAACATAACAAAATTCGCTGTAACTTTAAACACCGCACAGCTAGCATAGTTTTAACATAACAAAACTCACTGTAATCTTAAACGTTAAACACCGTACTGTTCGAAACAGTATTAATCACAGAGCTCGCTGTAATGTTAAACACCGTACAGCTATCATAATCTTAACATCACAAAACTCGTTAACACTGTACAATTTATAACAACCTTAAACACCATAAAACCTTTTTTAGCATAAACAACATACAAATCGCAACATTCTTCAACAATATACAATTCACAGTAGCCTTAACTTCAACAAGAGTTTTGTTATGTTTAGACTGTACCACCTGTGTGGTGTTTAAAGTTACAGCGAGTTTTGTTATGTTTAGACTGTACCACCTGTACGGTGTTAAAAGTTACAGCGAGTTTTGTTATGTTTAGACTGTACCACCTGTACGGTGTTTAAAGTTACAGCGAGTTTTGTTATGTTTAGACTGTACCACCTGTACGGTGTTTAAAGTTACAGCGAATTTTGCGTTGTTAAGACTGTACCACCTGTACGTTGGTTTATTTCAATACGAAGCCTGTTTCCTCAGCATTTCGTGCTTATGTGTACTGAGTCTTACTGTTGATTAGAATGGTTTTAACATCCAACTACTACCGTCGATAAGGTGCTCTCCTTCTGATATTGTACACCAGTTCTGCACGCGATTCTACTACTAGGTTTCAATGTTGTGTGATAGTTTACTTAAGTGTAGACCATTATCGCATATTGTGCTCGTGATATTATTTTTTAACTTAATAAAACTATTTTAAGAATAAATCAATAATAAAATCTGAATTAAGAAACGCGGAATGATTTTTTACGATATTATCTGTGAACAGATATTTTACTGTGTGTATGTTATCAGACACAGTGCTGCGCACAGTAAGGTTATATTTCATAGAAACACAGTGTTCTCTTAACAATAAAGTATTAGTTAGGAAGTCGAATTCGAACGTCTTGGTGCACCATTTGTCTATATAACCCTATGTGATAATCGTATTCCCATGTTCTCGGGGAAGTGGGGTGGCACTGATAGTCACAACTCTTTGTTTACAACAAATAAATAAACCTACGGTACGCATGTGCTGCTTTTCCTGAGTGTGCCGTCAGTATCGCATTACACGTGTGCCGTTACGTTCTATTATAACGTTCAAGTTTTATATTTTTTCCGGTTACTTTAATTAAAAATTACTTTTGTAACCTATGACGTTCATATACTCTTGAAAAAAGGCGTAAGCTGAAAGTTCGGGTAGAATAAATAAACATTCATCTGTTGTCTTCTTTGAAAAAAAAGAGTAATAAAGATACTTAATTCAAGGGTTCTTACACGTTCAAGTATTTTGTATACACTCTGTATTGACCTAGATAAAACTGTAGCGTTATCGTATTGACAAATAACCCTAATTCACATATGAATACTTGTACTTTCAAGCTGTATATAACCCTAACCTACACTACAAGTACGTGAAGTTTCAAGCTGTATCTAACCCTAACCTACACTACAAGTACGTGAAGTTTCAAGCTGTATCTAACCATAATCCAGATAAATACATAAGCATATAAACAAACATTGCACAATAACAAGTCATACTTAGTATCCCGCTATATGAACATTTTACTGTACAATAGATACGTATTTTCTAGTGATGTTCCAGAAACTGCTGCCATCTGTCGTCCATTTTATTAGATTGTAATCTAATTAAGGGCTTTGATCACAAATAAAGCCAAAATTCAATAAAATATTTTAAACTTTTTTATACCTCTATCAATTTTGAGTTGAACAACTGTTATAATTAAATAAACGCGCATTTCTCGGTTACCTTACCGGCTTCTAGCTTAGGAGGAATGGTTTTATTTCGTCTGAAAATAATCTTTACTAGAAAAACAAACATCAACAATAAACATACAAAAAATAACATAACATTACTAGTGACTTTGAAGAAGAACACGTTTGGCGGTAACTTAAATAATAATGAGTGAAAACACAACAACACTGGAGTAACTAGGATGAGCTTAGAACAATTATGTACATTGGTTCAGTGCGGTATGTCTTACTGGAGTTCTTTATTCTGGTTAAATTTGGTTCACCTTATTACAGTTCTGTATTCTGGATCAGTGCGGTATATCTTACTGGAGTTCTTTATTCTGGTTAAATTTGGTTCACCTTATTACAGTTCTGTATTTTGGATCAGTGCGGTATATCTTACTGGAGTTCTTTATTCTGGTTAAATTTGGTTCACCTTATTATAGTTCTGTATGCTGGTACAGTGCGGTATATCTTACTGGAGTTCTTTATTCTGGTTAAATTTGGTTCACCTTATTATAGTTCTGTATGCTGGTACAGTGCGGTATATCTTACTGGAGTTCTTTAT